TTTTTTTTTTTTTTTTTTTTTTTTTTTTTTTTTTTTTTTTTTTTTTTTTTTTTTTTCATACAAGATGTTGCGCGTGACCGAAACATAATAATATTATGACACGATGAGTTGAAAACTAAATATATATATATACATTAGGGTGAGGGGGAGCGATTCATTAAGTTGGAAAGAGTTGTTTGTCAGTAAAATTCTAAAATAAAAATATTATACATACTTTTAACTCAAAAGCTGACACATGTTTATTCCTCGCCTTGTATAGTACGGACTTGCAGAAAAAAATCGTGAGAAATTATTAACGAGATAGAGGTAAAGCGACACGTTGCGTGTGCGTACAGAAAAAATGGTAACATTATTATCATATACTTACTAAACTCCGCCCACCGATTTTTATTCAATTTTCATCGCTATATTTACACATCGCTAAAACCGCTCCCCTTTTAGCCCCCTACTCTTTCCCTCCCTCTTTTCACCTCCGCCTCTTCTTCGCGCTTATACGCTCGCCACGCGATTCGTCAGGGCTTCCGGCGGCCATTGCACCATTTCTTCACTTTACACAGTATATAATATAATGTATAATTGTATCTTACTTTGTAGATAGTTTACTTTGGCCCACCCTTTTCTCGAGCACCTCCATATTTATGTTTCCTATGGAAAATTGTTTAGAAGGCGTTGGCTTTGTTGAAAATTTTTTCATGCTTTGCTTGATACATCATCCATTATTTAGTTATTTTTATTCAATGTTCTATATTAAATTTCAGTATATGTGCACGTGTCTCTTCGACATGAGCGTTAAAAGACTTTGATATAGTCACATTTTCTATTCAAAAAGAAATTAAATATAATTTTCATTCAATAATATTTTAAGGGTACAATTAATAAGTTGTAAAAAATATTTTTGTCAATTATTTCGATGCTTTGCGTAAAATAAAAAAATAGGGCTGAAAAGTAATCGTAACGAAGAATGTTGTAAATTATTCAATTTTCTCAAATACTTGATGTATATATATATTTCTAAACGTAACTACATGAAGATTCATTCCACAATTTACTAGGAGTTTGTTTTCATTTTTTTATTTTTTGAAGGACGGATGAGCGGTTCATTATACTATTGGCTTGAAACTTGAACTAATTACTTACCGCAGCAAAATTTGGCGTTTTCGGTACCAGTAATCCTCTTCGAAGACAACGAAGATACACTCAAACTCGCGATTTTTCGAAGGACGTATCGAGTATATACAAAGATACACCCACGACGACGAGCCTCGAGGATCCATGGAGAGCAAAAAAAAGGGCGTCGCGTTTTCCGCCCTCTCCTCCATACGGGGACCCCTCGGAAATCCGAGAGGACTCTGGCGCCGGCTCGGCAATTACTTACTCCGCCGGCATCCACGCCTATATTGTAACTTTCCACCCACCACTCGGATGCAGTTTTCTCTGGTTTGTTTATTTATTTTCTTGTCACAGCGAGTAAAAACAATAACTAAGGGTTCGTTAGTCAGTTTATCGGCTAAAACCGAATTGAAAATCCAAGGGTGTCAAGGTAACACATATATTATAAAAATTCAAATCAATAATTTATGAATTTCGCTATCAATNGATCTAGGTCGGAGAGGCATAACGATCTTTTACCGATTTCTCGCCGATTTTCCCAATGCAAAGATAACTTACTCCGTTACCATTATTATTTTCGTATTATATATATATATATATATACGCCCTTTCCGCTGTAAATCGATTGCGCATCGTAAACAGGGGGGCGTGTTTACTCCTGTAAACCCTCGTGAAAGTAGCTTCTCCTCCGAGTGTGTGTGTGTAACACAGGCGTCATCATCGGCCGAGCGAGGGGGGAAAAAAAAGACGCGCGCGGAGATCAACGAACGAGCCACGCGGTACGATAAATATTTGGATTTTAATACGAGCGGAGAGCGAGAGGGCCTGGGGGGCCGCCGAATGAGCTGCTAGGAAAATAATTTGGCCGAGCAGCGACACCCCTTTAAACAATCTCGGGCTCACTCGTGGCGATGGAATTGAGTGCTGAGATGTTCCCTCCTGCCCCTTTTTTTTTATCGGCTCCTTTGTTTTGTCGTGCAACTTGTCTTTTTTTTTTTTTTTTTTTTTCTTCAACTCTTGATCGTTATGGAAGTTACCTCAATGATTTTGAGCTTAAGGATTTCCTATTTTTTTTCCCTTTGTATCCCAGGGATGGTATTTCTTTTTACACATCACGCACGTGTCTGGATTGAAATTGATACGCTAAGCTGTAGCCGTGGCAACGAATGAAAATCCAACAGAGGGCCTTTATGTCTTATTCCCCCCAAGGAATCGTTTTGAAGGTCTGAGAGAAGAAAGAAAGAAGGTATGATTTAATATCAAGTGTTGGTTTATTGGATGAATCTTTATCGCCATCAACTCGTTACTTTTTTTACCAACTATATAAGTTACGACTATACACTTTGTACAATATTTTTTACAGATATGTAATGTTCGACGATTGTTCTGTCATGCGGGATATTGGGAGGAAAAAAGACATAACGAACATCGACAAAATCATTAAGTACGGCTCTTTTCCACCTTCCTCTTTGGTTTCACGCGTCATTGGATGAATTCGTTAATGTTGCATTGCGCGTAAAGAATAAAAACGAAAATCATTCCGGCGTTTGGTATCATGTATGTACAACGGAGAGATGGCCCCCATTTTCAAATTCGGGCTCCACGTATCAGCGGGACGATTAATCAAATTATTTACAATTATCTCACGAACAAAAATGGCCCTGATAGCGCAGAAACAACATTTGAAAAACGTCACTTGCTCTCAATGCTACCAGTGGTATCGAGCTCACAATGACGCTATAATAGTGAGAAACCACGTTTTCATAGTTTAAAAGTGTCATTCTTGAAGTGATTCTTAGTGACAAAGAAAAGAAAAAAAAAATCAGAGAACATTTCCGATGTTGACAAAACGGTTGCCACGCGGTCATTATGCGAAACGTTTTAAAGTCCGAAGAAGAAAAAACTTCGCGTGCTATTGGAGTTAAGTGTGTATCTCCATTGGTATATAGGGCGCACACCTTTTCGCGATAAATTACAAACGACGACGATCCAAGTCGTGATTTCTACAAATAATTATGCAAGTGTGTGGTACTGCAACGACGCCTAATGCAAAGGATTGTTGTTAGCTTGTTGCTCCTGTTTCAGCTCGAGGGCCCACATGTGTTGCGGCCATCCGGTTCGGCCCTTGGCTTTTATCGTCTCCTCTTGCATCCCCATCATGTGCATGGCCACGTCATTCTGCAACATATAGGCAAAACGTTTTTTTTTTTTTTTTTTTTTTTTTCATACAAGATGTTGCGCGTGACCGAAACATAATAATATTATGACACGATGAGTTGAAAACTAAATATATATATATACATTAGGGTGAGGGGGAGCGATTCATTAAGTTGGAAAGAGTTGTTTGTCAGGCTGTGGTGTAAACACGAGCGACGAACCGTCCCGTAACGATCTTTCGAACAGCCTCGTATATCATCGAGAGATAAAATACCTATCTCTCTGTATCTATACACGAGTTTTGACGTCCCTTAGGATACCAATATAGTTTAAATTTATATGGGGCCTTAGTCCTCATCGATTTCACTGAGTAAAATATACGGCGTATAGGTTTATCACTAGTAAAACCGGAAGTTATATTCAATTGAATTTAATCGGAAGTTATATTTGGGCGTGCTTTTTTAAATACTTCGCATCCAAATTTGTCTAATTATCGAAATACAACGCGTGTCACTTGTTCTATAGATCATTTTATTTTTATAGCTAAAATTATATAGTTCAGTACTTACTCGGTAAAAATGGTGCATTAAATTTTAAGGGGAAAAAAAGTTTTTTTGTCAAGTCCCTTGTTAGAAATGGGAAAAAAATCTCTCCGGAAAAAACGGTGTGTTAGGTAATGAGAAAAATTTCGGTATTCAGTGTTGAAAAATCTATAAAATAATTGTACCCTAGTGTCAAACGTTAAACTCGAATGTCAAGTGGTTGTCGCTGTAATAATAAACGAATTTTTTTTTTTTTTCAGTCACAGCAAATACTCATAAAGTTTTTAAAGAAACTATTAATAGATAATTATTTTATATAATTGTAAGAGCTTACTGTTCCCATGAAAAGTGCTCGAGAAAAAAAATTGTTTTGAACGTATATATGCACACTAATTTATATATTTGTTGATTTATTCGGCGTCGTCGAAAATTCAATAAATCTCATTTTTAAATTTGATTTGAGGTGGCGAAGGTTGTACAAGAGAATTACCGGAATAATAATACATTCAGCTGGAAGTATATATTTTCTTGACATAAAAATAACACGAATAAAAAGTTTTGACATTTTGAGCATTCAAAGGATTGCGGTTTCCGAACAATTGTTTCCATGGTATGTTAAAAATTGTCCTCCCTTACAAAAAGACTCGAGATGTTTTCACGTATTTCACGCTGGAGTCGCGAAGAAAAAAAAAAAAAAAAAAAAAAAAAAAAAAAAAAAAAGGCCCCAATCCAAAGGTCGAACCATCGGCGATTGTGATCCCCCTTGGAGAAAAAGAAGCAAAAACTCACCAGCAGGCCCGGCTGTGGCTTGCTCCTCCTGCCGCTGGCGAGTATCTCGGCCCGGAAGGTCTGCGGCTCCTCGCCCTCGTCGCTGTCCAGCACCGTCATGAGGTAGCCGATGTAACTCGCGGCCAGCCTCAGGGTCTTGATCTTGGACAGCTTGGTGTCAGCGGGCACGTTGGGTATGCAGTCCCTGAGATCGGCGAACGCGTTGTTGATGCTCTGGGTGCGACGCCTCTCCTTTTTGTTGGCCGTGTTGCGCCGTTTCGGCTTGACCGGCGCCATTCCCAGGCCGTCGCTCGCACAGCACTGCTGTTGTTGCAACAACATCGACACTGATGCACTCGTTTGTTGGACGGCGAACGGGTGCGGTTGGGGATCGGGTTGCTGGTGGACGAGCGTTGGCATAAGTTGTTGCTGTTGGTAAACCGAGGGCTGATCGGCAAAGTAGTGCTGCTGTTGGTTGTTGCTGGGGCTGAGCTGTTGTTGGTGCTGGGAGTACTGTTGTTGGGGAGGCGAGTAGTCGCAGGACTGGGGGGACGGGTAGCTGGGCTCCTGGATGCCGATTTCCTCGATCAGCGGTGGCGACGAGGCGGGCGGACTGCCCGAGCCCGTGCTGCTGCTCGACATGCCCGAGTCGGTGCTCCAGTAGGGCCCCGAGTGGCTCTCCGCGTCCGGGTACTGGCCTGCAATGAACGGCCGATCGATTTAATTCTTGTTTTCTTTTCTCAAGTGCCGATCGTGCAGATTTTGTGTCGATTGCCAGAATATTATTATTATTTTTTTTTTTTTCACTCTTTGGTACGTGATCGAACCAATTCCCAATTCGACGCTTGCATATTTCGTACTCAAGATCGGCAAATCATTTTTTTTTATTTATTCAATAGCCCCACCATTATGTATATAAAAAAAAATAAAAAAAAAACCCGATAACTCGCAATTCTTTTCCCAGAAAGAGAAAAAACCATCCAATGGTGGAAAAAAAATGGAAAAAAGTTCAGACTAACCGTAAGGCAGCTGGGTGACGTAGTTGTACGGCTGGTGCCATTGGGGATAGTACTCGGCCTGGGTCTCGTAGCTTCCACCGAGCATCCTGACGAGTTCCCGTGATACCCCGTTCGGACGAAAATCTATCGTCTACTTGTGGTACAAATGCCCAACGGGAGCCACCAAATGTCCACGAAAAAAAAAAAAAAAAAAAAAAAAAAAAAATTGGCAATCACGTACTGATCGGCACCCACGGATAAGTGAAAAAAAAAACACCCTTGGCGCTCGGTGCACTCGCCAGAAGCGTCGAAACCCGAATGTCAGTCCCGTCGATCGGGGGTACGTAGGAAAGCAAAGTTGGTACACATATACACGGGCCCCGCTGCAGTGTGCTCCCTCGGCGTGGGTGGAGCGACCTGGCTCCCCCCTCCCCTCTGGTAACACGGTTGGCCACCACACGCTGGGCGTGGCTTGCCCTCGAGTTGGCTCTCGACGAGTCGCACGCCTTACTTTTATCGCATCACATACCGACCGCCGACTATTCGATTAGCAAATTGGACGGGGCCGGAGGGGGTGGGCATGTATCATATTTTGTGGGTACGTATCTATATATAAATGCATGCCCTCGTTTTCTCCATTGCTATTTAACACACACACACACACACACACACACACACACACACACAAANAATGAAAGAGTAGCAATCAATAGATCGTCTCATAAAATGTAGAAAAAGTTGCTCGTGTGTAATATTTGGCATCTGATTATTGATTAACATCAGGGCAACATGTATGGGAAAAAGTCATAAGTTATCAAAAAAGGGGGAAAAACAGTTTTACGACTATTATCTCCCCCTGAAGGTAATATCATGTAAATTAATAAATGACACTCTTTGTTTTGTCCTTTATCGAACTTAAACGCTAGCGTAATAAATTTCACACCCACATGTCCCACGCATATATATAAAAAGCGATGATACCCAAATAGAGCAAGGAATAAAATTTTTTTTTTCACTTTGATTCCGTAAAGAGAAGAAAAAAAGGAGGGAGAAAGAAAATAAAAAAAAGAAAAGGAAGAAGATAGCGAGTGCGCGCGCGATCCAACGCGCGTACCTATACCACACCGGTCGGAAAGGGCCATGTGGCTTTTACGAGATATCAAATCGTACGTAGCGCGCCGCCGTTGCCGCCACCTAAATATAGTTTATTGCGTTACCGAGTATTAATGGGGCTCCGCTGGGTGGAAGCGTCAAACTCGGCTAGAAAATTCGTAAGTCAAGCCCCTCTCGCCCCTTACCACCGCCTTGCCGATATTATTCGCGCTTCACGCAGCTTGTGACTTTATTGCGTATAGATAATCGGGAATTTTCATCCTCTGCTGGATCGTACATCGCATGTACTTACCGAAACAAAATAGCATTGTGAAACAATTTTAAGTACTGTTTTTCTTTAGTCCAACGATGATTCCATTTCAATAATATTTTGCTACACGTTTTTAATTTGCTGGTTTATCAGGATACTGTATTTAATTAGTAAATACAAAAACTATTTATTGAAAAATTTTTTTCCATTCGGTTAGTGAGTTGATTAATTATTATTATTATTATTATTTTTTTTTTTATTTTTTTTTTTATAAAACAAAAAAAAACAATAGTTCCACCTACAAATTTTTCCTGTGTATACATGCATCCCGCATAACACTCGGTGAAGGTATACAAATTATTTGTATTTTCATTTATAGCTGAAAAATAAATACAATATGTACTGCGAATTAAATATTTCATGTAAAGTTTTTTGAATTGTTATCCACATTTACTTTCATGGTAGGAAAATTTGAAAAGTTCCTACCGAAATCAAAGCACATGGACTGTCGATTATTTATTTCCTCTCTTGTGTTGGATCCTAAAACTCTTAGAAATTCGATTGGTTCCTGCAAATAAAAAATTGATTGGTGAGTGATCTCTAAGGCTGTAGTTATTTTTATTTATTTTTTTTTTTTTTTTTGCACAGCACATTTGTTTTACTGCTATGAAAGTTAACATAATATATCATTTTTAGATAAGGATATTTTTGATAATTGTTGGGTTGTGTTTTTAATTAATAAGTAATGTAGTAATGTCAATTGCAATATTTTGCCTTCTTACTAAGATATATTTTTATATAAGATGATTTTGCTCCTTGTCATGAAAAAAATGTTTGTATAGGAAATAAAGTTTTTCTCGAAACTCATAAAAAAAAAAAAATGTGTTTTTATTGCACAAAAGTTCAAAATGTGTATGAATTTAAAATAGTAGATTTGCGTTTGCACGTACATACCTTCAACGTATGTGATTCAAGACTTTACATGTTTACTTGTATCTACTTACTTGCAGACTTCATAAAACTATGTACTTGAAAAAAATACTACACACCTTTCTTCTACGAAAATTTTTTTTCCCAATTTTAGCACAACGCACACATGATACAGCATAAATTTAACTCTTTACAAAATAAGGTAACAGCTTCGATTTATGCGCTTGTAAAGTACACGTACTTAGTGAAAGAAATGTCTAATTAATATATGTATTTCCTAGGAGAGCTGAGTTTTATCTCCTGGGAAGGAAAGTTTTACCAACCTTTTTACCCATTGATCGGCAAATACTAAATTTGTCTGAAATATTCGTTAAGTCATTTATAATAAATTTGTCTTACTTACTGAAAAAGTAAACGTAATCCACAAGATTAAGATTATGAAGAGCGAATTCATTGGAAAAGAAAAAAAAATCTCGAACAATCAAAAGTTAACTTCGGTATTGTAATACCCGTGCGACTTGAGTATACTGCGAGCATTGAGTTTATATAGCCAAGTAAAACCGAATCCTGATAATAATATACGCCAGTTATTTAATGATTTTACGTTAAAAATAGTTCTAAGCTATGCCAATGATGACTATTTCTCCAACTATTTCTCAGTATGAAACTGTAGTTATTTTTAAAATGAGGAATAATCACAATCGCTGAGAGGTCAATGATTCTCTATTTTATACGAATACGCAATTTTTTGTAATATATAAGGTCTTAACAACAAACACCAAACTCTACTATAATTGCGAATTTTGAGTTTAAGTAGAAATTGTATTGTGTAGGACTGAATGAATCGTCAAACTAAAATTATTATTGAAAAAAAAAAAAATTTGAAAAATTTATTGGTCAGCCTTCCACGAGTAAGTACTTTCGACTCAGATACTTTTTATAAAAATTCTCATGACCTAGGAATATTTACAAACAAGATATCAAACGATAAAGAAGCTGAAATTCATTTAGTTAATTGAAAATAATTTTTTTTAAAAAGTACAAAAAAAAAGTTTTGGTGTGGGTAGACTTTGGCGTTTATCGTTAATAGCAATTGAAAAGTAGGCTATACTATAGCCCGAATGTAACTGAAGTCATCGACATTTTTGTGAAAGTGTAAGGAATATAAAGTAAGTTTTATTTTGATTAGTGAATAAAAGCTATACAACCTTATAAATTCTAATGAATTCTCATACTCACATAATTGTCAACGAAAAACCGTCAAGCACTGTTTTATTAAAAACTGCATATAGGGATCGGATTTATTCAATTGCTCAATTTTTTTGTTATATATTTTCATTTAGTTGCTGCTTAGGTAAAGTAAACAACAAAAATCGATTGAAGCTAGGAAAATATGACGTGATCAACGTTTTAATACCTTATCTCTTATATACCTACATATAAAATGTCATCGTACAAATTAAGAANTTATATAGTTGTAAACAACACATGAATTTTTTATGTTTCGATTATCTCATTAATTTGCTTTTTTGATTTTGTAAAGCACTCAGAACTTAACTCTCGGATTTCATAACTAATTTATATTTTTCTGAGATTGAGCTCTGGTTGTTGAAGCCATATTTCCGAGATCCTCAGTGGAACTAAGCCAACTTTGTCCACAAGCAAAAGGTGTCTGAACCATCTACAAAAAACACCTTGGAAGTGTAAATCAGGACTTGTTTACGGGTAAAAGACGAAGGTATAGACGCGTCTGAATTCATGTCATGAGTCAAACAAAATTAAACGTGATGCAAAGAGCGCTTAGAATGACAACAAAAAAATACTTATTAAGTACCCAAAAGCTTCGACAACACCTATACGACTTGGCTACACTCGAGAAACCACAACCAACGAAATTCAAGCTCAAGGGCCCACGCACGCTGCGGCTTTTCCGATTTTTTCCCAAATAATCATCCCGAGTGTAGGGCGCCCTTGAAAATCCCTCCGTCATCATCGCACCGATCGGATGGAAAAAGACCGAAAAAGAGACACCAAAGGCCTCTTTTTCTGCCCTTGAAAAAACCCCATAAAAAAAAAAAAAAAAAAAAAAAACCCATCCGCTTCTTTGAGCCGAACCGCGTACAGGCGCCGCAGGTCCGCCCCATGTCACAGACGTCTCTCAGCATTATTAGCACGATTACCGCGAGATAAACTGTTTCCACTCTCCATCCCCCTGGCAACCCCTGCCGTGTGTGACGGCTGCTTTCTCTCTCCTGTGGCCACTCGATAACGGCACCTCGAGGGCCCTTGCGATCGCGAAGCTAGCTTGGACCCCCTTCCGCCCCTTTCGGAGAAAGCTCTCGACTTGACATCTCGTCCTTATTGGAAGGTGAGGTCTTTAGTTGATTCTGATTTCGTCATATAAGGCTTGGACCAGCAGAATTTTGCACGAAAAACACAAGTGATCTAGGTCGGAGAGGCATAACGATCTTTTACCGATTTCTCGCCGATTTTCCCAATGCAAAGATAACTTACTCCGTTACCATTATTATTTTCGTATTATATATATATATATATATATACACGTCACAGAGCAACATGTCCGTATATTAGTACACCCTCGATTCGAGTCCGTGTCTCGGCCCGCCCTCCGAAAAGAGGCGCCACTTTATCAAAGGCGCCCGCCAAGATATGCGCGTGTCAAAGGGCACGACGCGCTTCTGCATCCTTCACATTATTAGACACACAACAGACTACCTTTTCCCCTTTCACTGTCTCTGTGTCGTATGTATATGTACGTACGAGCTCTGCCATATAGGCAGTCGAGCTTTCCTCTTTTGGGAAATGCGTATACCGCTGGTACATCATGTGCAGTAGTGATG